CAAGCAAAGAAAAGATGAATGTCTCAACGTGAAATACAAACACTGCGGATTATAGACATAGCAAACATGCATAGAATGATAAAAAAGAAATAACAGAACATAGGATATGCTTCTCGTCAGGATAGATAAAATCTTTAAAAAAAAAAAGAAAAAAAAAAAGAAACGCTCATAACAAAACAAATAGAAGATAGACTTAAGAAATGGGACGATTACGTTGGAGTAATCTTTCACAACAGAGTAAAGAAACCTAAAATCCGTAAAGAATATGGAAAGTACCTGAAATATTAAAATCTAAAATATGATCAGCGAAGATGAACAGAAAAAAAAGAAAGCTCCAGGGCAAGAGAGAATTGTAATCGAGATTTTGTCAGCCATTGACGATTTCGGGATTGACAGACTTACCGAAATAATAAGCGAAATATACGACAATGGCGAACATTCACCTGAAGTACCTATATAATCTACAATTCAAATAAACTAAAAAATCCGACAATTATTTTTAAGACGTTTTTATGTTTATAGGTTCTTTTTTTTCTTATATAGATACAAATATTTAAGTAAATGCTCTGTTTATAATAAATAGTATTGACGACATTTACCGGCCTGAATGTACGAGAATTTTCATAGAAAATATGCGTCCTCTGACAGGAATCGAACATGTATCGTTGGGAACCGTCATATAGTCTGACGTGCTTTACCAATTTAGCCACAGAGGAGCGTTTCGGTTAGCAAGGTCGATTTTACTGTTTTTAAACTGTTAATACTGTTTATTATAAACAGAGCATTTGCTTAAATATTTGTATCTATAAAAAAAAAGAACGTATAAACATAAAAACGTCTTAAAAATAATTGTCGGACTTTGTCCATTTCCTAATGTGTGACGTCATTTGCTTACATTTGGAAACGCATCGAGCAGATATGAATGTACGAGAGAAAATTATTGAGAATTGTAGTTTAAAAACAGCGAAATCGACCTTGCGGGAAATGAGCTGATTTTGACATGACATTGATGAAAATTGATTTTCAGTCTTACCATCAAGGTCCATAGCGGTGAAGATGCGTTTTATTTCGTCAAAAGTAACGTTGCCATCTGTGTCATTATCGAGTTTTTTAAAAAGCTGCCGCGCGAACTCATCGTCAGGAAGAACGTGGCCATGATCTTCCAATTCAAACGCTGACGTAAAACTAGAAGAAATAAAAAAAAAATGTAAATTAAAAGAATTTTATTAAATTTTCTCGCTGTTTCCAACTAACGAGAAAAAATAATTATTCCCTTTTTAAGATTATGTTCTTTATTTATGTGCTGGGTGTGTGAGCTACAACCGTAGAGCAATGGTTAACGAGTTAAATCATTTCCTATTATTATGAGTTCAATCCACACAGCCTGCTCTACTAGGGTCATACTCGATTTAGTATATATCTAAAAGTAGGAGTTTTCCAAGGTCATCTGCATGACCAATGTGAGTAAAGTTATTCCATTTCTGATAGATGACCGCAAAGCCAAACTTAAAAAATCGGCAAAACCAAAATAATGCCATTTCCATGGTTCAAGTCTTGAAATCTGAGAACCAAAAATAAATCACTTTTCTAAATATTACTTCAGTTGTTTTTTGGTTTTAATAAGATATTCCAGAGACGTGTCCTGGGTATGACGATAGACTACAACTGGCAGCAAGGCCTCTCTTCAGGAGGTTTTGATGAGTGTGGAACCACCTCTTAATTGCTGGTGTTCCCAGGTTCACTCTGACCCGGAGTGGTAACACCTGTTAGGGTCCCAACTATGGGCAAATAGTTAACCCTCCCAAACTGGGGTCAAACACTATGAAAGTATTAAAACTGCATTTTCAGAGTAAAAAAAATAGTAGCAATACATTTAAAAAAATACAAGCAAAACATTTTTTGTAAAAAAATAAAAAAAATTACCCGCAGTACATTTTTGTAAAAGAAATTATCAATGCTCCCAAGAAAATTAAATTTCGGCATTAAATGACCCATAGAGGTGTTGATATGCCTCTAAACAAACAATAGTAATAGTAACATTCCAGAGACATTAATTATTCTAAATTTTTAGTTAATTAATAATATAGGAAATAATCAATATAAATAAAAATTGTTTTTACTTTTTTAGGCGCGTTTCTCGTTTCATCTAAAAGTTAAATTAGTGAAACTAATTGTATTTATTATCAATCATCTGCATTAAAATTATTATACAAATTAGTTTTTGAGAAAACTATTAAAAAAAACATCAATAATTGTCCCTATTTGGGCTATATGGTCGGATTCAAACCTGCCACCCACGACCACGGGAAACGTTATTTTTAGTGTCCGATTAATTCTCTAGCTCAAATGGTTAGGGCTTGCTGGGTCTAACTAGCTCAGGGGGGACGTAGGTTCGATTTCTGCCGGAGAGCGTAAATCTTCCTTTAATAAGAATTCTCGAACATTCAGGACGGCGGCAGAGGAAAATAAATATACGGTTTAATAAACAAATGCAATGTCTACTCAAATACGAGTAACCACTAAAAATAATGTTTATAAAGATAAAAATTATACCGGTTAATAAGTGGCAAGGTCAGATATTTTTGATTTATTGTGACAGTAATTGGATAGGCGGGAACGCTTATATTTTAAATGGTTCTAAAGGCTATCGAGTAGAAATTATTATCGGCCAGAATACGCTTATTTTATAGCTTTTGTATAAGAGCTGTTTGTTAACTTTTAACTCTTTATTTATTACTGATTACGAGTATAAGGTATTTGGGTTTTATTGATTAATTATTCGCCGTTGATTATTATTATTAAATTTACTGAGTTGTGGTCCTGAGTGCATTCGAAAAGTTTTGTTAATTTGTTTTTATTTATTTTTTTAATGTATATATTTTGTCTTTTATCCTTTCTTTCTTTTTGAGGACTGGTTTTCTTAGTTGCTTGTTTAATTTAAAGCGTTGGCTTTGTTTAAAGTATATGAACTTATCTGCATTGGACATAGTGCATATATTTACATTTTTCGTGGTAATATTTTACAAAGTATTCGTTTTTAGTTTTCAATTTTTAAGTAACGCAGGAAACAATTGCTTTCCTTCCAGCATTTTTAGATGAGTTCTGATCGTTTATTTAGTAATTTCTGTTGATTAGGGAAGATGATTATAGCAATTTTCTTCTTCAGATGAAATGTACAGTTTTCAGATTTATAGGCTGGTGCTATTTTCTTCATTTTCAATAATATTTTATAGGTGTACTGTTTTTTTTGTGGCTAAGTTCCCATATATGTTTAGAAAGAGTTGTGCTGTCCGTGTAGTTACTATTGGTAAAGGAAGTTTTGTGCACGTAGTTTCACTGTTTTCAGAATACTTCACTTACTTCTATGTATATTTTTTCTGTAAAACAGCAGATAACGTACTCTTATATTTACACACACTCTATCTCTGATATTGAGTACTTTTGCCTATAATATAGCATAACTATATTTTTATCATATATATATATATACACACACATATATATATATATATATATATATATATATTTAGAGAGAGAGAGAGTGAGAGAGAGAGAGAGAGAGAGAGAGAGAGAGAGAGAGATTTCAAATCTCTATCTTAGAGAAAAGTCTCAGAGATTAACACAATATCTATACCAAATATCCGAATAGAACACTTTTACAAATGGAAATCATTTCCACGGCTACAACTCAAGTCTGTTTTTCGTCAATATGAACTCCGAAAAATAAACTAATCAATTATTGATCTCTAAAAATCTTAATTATTCATAGTTTGGACAGCTTCCAACTTTTTTCTCTCATCCTTTCCACCTGAGTATGTCATTTTTTTGGGTGTCGAAAGGTTTACTTATAAAATTTGACATGTTTTTATGTTATCTATATATCTATGTCTGTGTGTGCGAGTGTATGATAGATTAGTCAAGCATTTCGATATTGGATTTATGTGAGAGTTAACAAGTTTTACTTCGTCCATCCAACGCTTTAAAATTTCAGCATTTAACATTCGGGTTCAGTGCCCACGCACACAATGTTCTGATTGCCCCACAACCATTGAAAGCTTGTATTTTTCCAATGACACAGACTCAAAATTGCATAAAAAAAACAAAAAACGTTTCACTACACCAATTCTTAATCCTTGATTTTATTACTGTTCACTTGGGAAGCTTTTTAGTTTGTGTAAATGCATTTCTCAAAAGAAAAGAAAGAAAAGAAGGGTTTTCTTTTTTTTTCTTTTATAGAGAAGACATCTTCCATTGGTAGGTTAGTTGTCGAAGTATTTTGGGAGGCTGCCTTTGGCAATAAAGTGATGTCTGCGTTGCTTAGAGAACACGTTTCTTTTATCACTTCATCTTGATCAAATTGGAAGCCATTGCTTTCAGCAACTATCTATCTCAATTTGTTCATGTCTGTTTTAGCTCTGCTTGCTTCCGAAATGAAAATAAACTTGTCTCCGGCAGTCAGTATTCAGAGCAATGATTTCAAATATTTTTTTTACTCTAGACAGATTCCTACCACGCTCGAGCGTTTGCACAATATTTGTAGCCCCTAATAATCAATGTCCTTACGTATGTTCTCATATATTTCCTGAGCTTTAATCGATCGATTTCTAATATTACGCATGCAATTAGATGGAGTGACGTAGGCGCGAAAGTGATCTTTGCGAATGATACTTTTTAATGTGGGCGTCTTTTTCTTTTCGTATATCTGAATTTAAAACCGAAAGTGAAATACTTTTTAAGAGTTCCAAATCAGGCATCGAACATAGAAACGACAATTTCCTGGGCCCACATGACGCCTATAAAGATAACAATAAAACAAATTAATGACTTTCATATTGGAAATACAAAGAAAGGGGCTCACGGCCATATCTCGCTGAAACATCGATCACTGAAGTTAAGCAACGTAGAGGCTGATCAATACTTAGATGGGCCACCTCTTGAAAATAACAGGTGCTGTAAGCTTGCATGTAAGGCTGGTATAATGTGTTTACAGCCACAACACATTCAAACACCAGTTCCCGTATGATCACTAAAGGTAAGCAATGTCGAGCATGGTCAGTACTTAGATGGGTGACCTCTTGCGAATACCAGGCTCTATAAACTTGGATATAAGGGTGGTATAAAGGACTAATGGTTACATCCCGTTTAAATACCGGTCCAAATACGATCATCAAAGTTGAGCAATGTCGAGTCTGGTCAATAATTAGATGGGTGACCACTTGGGAATATTAGATGCTCTAACATTAGATGTAAGGTTGGTATAAAGGGCTTACGGCCACATCATATTAAAACACCAATTCCCGTACGATCACTAAAGGTAAGCAATGTTGAGCCTGGTTAGTACTTAGATGGGTGACCACTTGGGAATACCAGGCGCTGTAAGCTTGGATGTAATGGTGGTATAACGAGTTTACAGTCATATAATGTTTAAACACCATTTCCCGTACGATCACCAAAGTTAGGCAACGTTGAGCCTTGTCGCTACTTAGATAGGTGACCGCTTGGGAATATCAGGTTCTGTACGCATGTATATGCGAGTGGTGTAATGAATGACGTCTCGGAATTGGATGTCGGTGAGCCGAGTTCGAATTACAGTCTTTTTCGTTATATTCACTTACGCGCAATGGGTATAATTATTAAAACTTGTATCAGTAAATCATTATTATCTTTTACAATTTAAAAATATTCCCTGGCTTTTAAATAACCTGCAAAAGGTTGATATACCGTAAAAATAAATCAACTAATGTCATTAAGTTTATTTACTAGAATGACACTAAAATAAAAAGAGAAAAACACTTCTCGGCGTTTGGCAAAGTCTGAAAACGTTTTGTTCTGTTGATTTTGTCATCGTTGAAAGAGAAAAACAACAAATTTTAACCCTTGTCTGATCTTTCCAAGGACTATAAAGCGAATCCAGGATACACAAAGCTGTTATAGTCAACAAGATGGTGCAACGAGAAAGCACAAGTTTCTTTTCATCATCATCATCATCATCATCATCATCATTGTTATCATCATCATCATCATTGTTATCATCATCATCATTGATATCATCAATAATTCTCAGTACAGAATATATACAACTATATCAGTAAACAAACAAATACCTAGCAAGATTATCATGTTTTAATATCAAGCAACAAAGTCTTATATGAATCTAGATGGTGATGAGTGAAAATTGTTAGCATTAATCTTTCAGAAGAAATTCTATTGTATGTGCTATATTCATATGTCACACGTAATTTACCCACATATTAAATATACACCGAGGAACACAGCTGGAGATAACGTTTCCCCATTCCATAGTATGGATGCCCAAACATAATATTAAAATATGTCATTCTAAAGTAATTCGCCTGAACGGCTTTAACCAATTAGTAGTTGTCTTAACAGTCATACCGATAAGCTGCAAATGTCTTATAGAAAATTATTTGGTTATTGCTAATTGAGGCCTCCATAGAGAATAGATTTATACCATCTACTTAACAAAATAATCGACTAAAATTATATAGATCCTGATTATTGCTGAAGTCATATATTTCTTGGTGATTATTATTTAATAACAACAATTCAATTTTAATCAAGATGATAAAGAAAACTTTTGAAGTAAAATTTAAACTTTATAAAAATCCGATTAATTTAAAAAATAGCTATTAAAAGAATTGAACACGATTATTTTCTAGAAAGTCTGCACACTAAAATAAAAGAAATAAAATCAAAAGTTGGCAAACAAATATTTTACTTTAATTTCAGTTCAGAATAATTCTATGCTATAAACCGATTTTTATCTTTTCATTACAAAAATGAAATTAGCTTTAATTCTATAGGAAATTAAAATTGAAAAACTGTAGAAAGATTAGGCGATATTTTAATGCGGTTTTATAAGCGTGAATTTATAAGGGGTAATTTATAAGAGTTAATTTATAAGGAGGAATATATGAGGGGTAATTTCTAAGAGTGAATTTATAAGGGTAATTTCTAAGAGTGAATTTATAAGGAGGAATTTATAAGGGGTAATTCCTAAGAGTGAATTTATAAGGAGGAATTTATAAGGGGTAATTTCTAAGAGTGAATTTATAAGGAGTAATTTATAAGGGGTAATTTCTAAGAGTGAATTTCTAAGGGTAATTTCTAAGAGCGAATTTATAAGGAGGAATTTATAAGGGGTAATTTCTAAGAGTGAATTTATAAGGAGGAATTTATTAGGGGTAATTCCTAAGAGTGAATTTATAAGGAGGAATTTATAAGGGGAATTTCTAAGAGTGAATTTATAAGGGGAATATTTTTCAAGAAAACATTTTCATAAACCGATTTATTCATAAATGTAATAAGTACAGATATTACTATTAAATTTCAATTATTCGCTGAATTCTCCGAATCTAAAATCACTACTGAAAATGAGATTTCAACACGTGGACGAGAGTAAGGAGAACGAAATGTATGAGCCGATGGCAATGCCAAGGGAAGACGTTTTTGGAAGACATGTTGGTTTCCCAATGATTGATATTCTTATGCTGCATCGATCCCGAATTGACTGGTTTCTTTTCTGTCTAACCCTTGTTGCTTAGCAACAAACAGTGCTAAGTGTAAGACGCAATGTCTATGGCTCAAAATAAATGGGGCATGTACACACGTGACCGTACATATCTCGTTTGTTGCATCAGTTGACAACACCCAGACTCGCCCTCTGTCTTTCTTTATTTATTTCTTTCTCTCTCTTTGTCACAAACGCGCGCGCGCGCGCACGTGCACCGAGAAAGATGCAAAAGTTCATCGTTTTTCTCACAAGTTTCTTATTTTTTGATCCTTCTATTTTAATGTCGGGGTTGAATTGTTTCGTCAATTAGGAATGATCTCCATAAAAGTTAAAATTGATTTTCCAAACCTTTTCAATATACAAATAAAATTTACTTTTAAATCTGTTTTACAATTCTTGTTAATGTATGACGAGAGAAATTAACGGTGGCATACTCACCCCAGCGCCAAGGAGATACTGACAAGGAGCACGAAAGGAGTCTTCATCTGATAATAATAATAATAATAATAATAATAATAATAATAATAATAATAATAATAGACAAGAAGAAGAAGAAGACGAAGAAGGAGGAAAAGAAGGTGAAGAAGAAGAAGAAAGAGGAGGAGGAGGAAAAGAAGGAGCAGAAGAAAAAGACGAAGAAAAAGAAGACGAAGAAGGAGGAAAAGAAGGTGAAGCAGAAGAAGAAGAAGAAGAAGAAGAAGAAAGTGAATAATAATAATAATAATAATAATAATAATAATAATAAGAAGAAGAAGAAGAAGAAGAAGAAGAAGAAAAAGAAGAAAAAGAAGAAAACATGTTGATGATTTCAAAACATGTCACCGCAGTAATTGGCTCGTTTCCAAATGAAAATGAAAATTGGAACAACACAAACACCATTTGTAACTCGATCGCCAATAATAACAACTAGATAAAATAACTTCCAGGTTCATATAATTTAAATTTGAAATCTTCGCTGCTTTGCCAGGTAATGGTGATATGATAGTGTCAGCTGATTTCAAGAGCCTAGTGAAAAACTTTTCGTTTTTTGTTTTTTTTTTTGTTTTTTTTTTCTGGGTGCGGCCATCAAACAATGAATGGCATTAATGGTTACTACTGAGAATATTATAACAATATTTTTGTGCTTCCAAAAATCACGATACATTCAATCACCCCCTCTTCTGTCCTCTCCTCCTCCAAACTTTTTATTATTATTATTATCTTCACTGTTATTCCTGCTGCAAGTAATATAAAAAAAACATATTCGTAGGACATTGGGAATGTTTATTTGCAATTTTAAAAGAAAACACGAAAGTTTGAACCGGAATAATGTTTACAGAAGTTTCTCACGGGATATCACGTGTTAGCCATTTCCAAGAGAAAGACTTTTTTTAAAAAAGTCATTTTCTTTTCTTGAACTTTTTAAGTCACTATTTATTCTTCCATAAATTTATATTCGCCTGATGAAAAAAAAGACTTAGTTAAGACTAAACAAAAAATAAGCTAAAACCTCAAGGAGGAGTTTATTCTATTGTCTGTAATATTTGTCACAAAAATACATAGGAATTTCAATAAAAGATTATGTGAACATAAAAGCGACATTTTACAAAATAATACATCAAATGAGTTGGTTGCCCGCTGTAATGAGACTGAGCGAAACTTTGAAATAAAAAATGTTACTCTGATCAAAGAAAAAAATAATTCACCACAACGTAAATGACTAGAGAGTGCTTTAATCGCAAGGTGATCTACAGTAAATTTACGCCCTTGCTTTTACAACATTTCACCATTCCTGGCAGATCTTCTAATATCACAGTGTGGAAGTGATGGAAAGAAAAAAGAAAGAGACTAAATGAATTCTGCTGAGAAAAATATTCTAAAATTCCTAACACTCTATTACGTGCACATTTGTAGTTCTATCAACATAACAAAATTAATTCGATGAAGTCCTGAAGGACGAAACGTGTCACAAGTAAAATTTTCTCACTTTGTCATAAAATTTCCCCCTATATATATATGTATATATTGGATGATTTTGCGGCGGCAGTGTGTAGATATATCATGGCAAGAAAATAATACAAATATTTTCACATTGTTTTCTACCGTAATGAATTGATTGATGTAGAATATATCTTTATTGCCTCCTTGGCATAAACATGTCAAATTTTAAAATTCAAATGTCTAAGTTCATTCACTGAATTTCATTTTGACTTTTTCTTTTTCATTGTCTAAGAGAACAATTATTTATAAGTTGTCTTCACGCTTATGACAGGTTTGAACACGCAGGTTAATGTATTTGATGACTAAATTAAAAGTGTTTGTTCCATATTATGAGTTTTTTTAATTTGGAATTATATCTTTAAAAATATCTTTTTTAAGATATCAATTGTCCTTCAAAACAAAACGAATACTGAATGTAACTTTTTAAAAAAAAGAATATAACTTCTGTCAGTTTAAAACTTAGCGTTAAATGTCTAAGTAAATTGAACCGTGGATATTTTGAGGAACAACATTATTTTCTATGGTTTTTCACTCTGATTGGATCAATATGATTCTTCCGATTCGAAATATTCAATCAAATATTATTTTAAATAAATTTTAATTAGTAAAATTCAAATTTCTTTTTTTCACTGAAATAACGCATGCGCATTGTGTGGCCGAACTGCTTTCGGCTAATGCAAGCTTCGTATTTCTTAATGTGTCCATCCTAAAATCAAAGATTAAAAGTGAATTATTACTGATATTTTGCATTGTTATTAAATCTGATTAACAAAAAAAAAAATCAATGTACTTAAAAAAACTGGACAGCTTGGGAAAAATCATGAATTGAATTCGCAGACACTTACCTTGAGGACCAATTGAGGACAAGTGAATAGATGACAGATGGTTGATTCTTAAGAAGACACAAGCCTATCACCTGACCGCCCAAAGATAAAAAAGACTCTTATCAAAATGGCAGTTTTAATAACACATATCAATTTTGTTATCGAAAATCTAATTATCTTT